TTGAAGTGTTTTGTTGTTGTTGTCGTCATTGTTTTGTTTTGTTTATTTGTTTCCTTAAATATTTGGCTATAACCCTCCAAACTAATGTTTCATTTTCCTCTCATCCTTTGACTTGGAATTAGCAACAGGAACTTTTTCCTTCCACCATACTATTTATTATTATTTTTGTCATTCCAGCTTTTGCTCCACAGTTCGTCTCCACCAGGTTATAAGTCCTACTTGTGATACTGGAACTGGAGAGCAGAAATTTCTCCTTGGGTGCTGTCTCAAGGAATCAAAGAATGAAGCAGCAGACCAGAGATGTTCAAACAAGACAGGAATTTATTGCAAACATAGGGTGGCTCCTTGGGAGGGAGATTCAAATGGGTTGCCATGGAAGCATTCTGCTCTTCCCCTTATAGCTGCTAAAAGCCTGCTCTTTGTCTATGTGTGCTGCTCTCTGATTGGTTCCTGGCCTTTCTGCAACCTTATTCTCTTTCACTTCTAAGAAAAAACATTCTATTTCCTGCAAAACACATCCTTTGTTTGTTTCAGCTAACTCCACCATTTCTCCTTCTTCAATCCCTTACCCCAGTGGTTCTCAACTTTTCTAACGCTGAGACCCTTTAATACAGTTTCTTCTGTTGTGGTAACTGCGAACCATAAAATTATTTTCGTTGCTACTTCATAATTGTAATTTAACCCACGAGTTGAGAACTACTACTGTAGGGCCTAAGATCATCAGAAAACACAGATATTTACATTACAATTCATAACAGTAGCAAAATTACAGTTTTGAAGTAGCAACAAAAATAATTTTATGGTTGTCACCACAACATGAGGAAGTGTATTAAAGGGTTGCAGCATTAGAAAGGTGGAGAACCACTGCCTTACCCTAACTACCGAATTCTCCATTAACTCCTTTCACTTATTCTGACATCATCACAACCTCTTTCTGTGCCCAGGTCTCATGGTCCCTCTGACAGAGAGCAATGATTTTTAGCTCTGAAGGTAAACATTCCTTTTCAGCAGAAAGCAATTATAGAAGATATATGACACCGTTTCTTCCCTGAAAAAAAATTCAATGCCAAAAGTCCTTGGGGGAGGGAGAGTGGGATGTAAACCCTGAGACCCCCAGAACGATGAAGATGGGCCAGGTACAGAAACTCACCAGCACAGAAAGCTCCAGATGCCTCGCAAGTAACAAAACTGGGAAAACAAGAACCTTACCCCCAGGTAACCTATCCTGCCTTAGCATATCACTTGTCATGTGGTCTGGACTCTGGATCTTTCCTGTCGCTGGTCAGGCAGTTTAAACACCTTGACCCTTTCCTCCCTAAAGGCAACATCGAGGCCTCAGCTGTATTTCAGCTCCAGGCCCAGAAAAGCAGCAAAATGAGACAAGTTGATGCCATGGCTGGGTCAGGACCAACGTTTACCTACCTAATCACACAACAGGTTTCCTCAACTTTGGGTATACTTTTGCCTTTCAGGATGAACCTATGTAGAACAGACCTTTACATCTTGCCTAGTAGGAGTTGGAACACCTACTACTGATATACAGATTTATACTCAGTCTATTCGTTTTTTGGGGAAAGTCACATCTGGGGACCTTTATGTGTTGGGAGCAACTGACCAGGAGAAGATGCAGGGATGTTTTCTCTAAAGGCTGCTGCAGTAGCTTCCTGTGGTGAGTGTCTGACTTTTACTAGAAGTTCTGGTTATTTTTTTAGTATCTAGTAATCTATATACTATTTATAAAAGGCTGTTATGCAAAGTATCCCTTCAGGAGTTTGACTGGGAGACTGGGAGTTTGATCGCTCCCTGTGACATGTGCTGACCACAGCGGGAAGCACAGAATGAAGGACGGCCCCAATCAACCCTGATCACTGGCCAGGCCAGGGACCCTACCCATGCAGGAATTTCATGCACTGGGTCTCTAGTTACAGTATAAACTGTTCTGATTATTTTGTTCTCCCTTATAGTAATGGACATACTAAGCAGCCAGCTGGTAAGTTTCTAATATGTGGGGTAACTGTTTATTTATATATCCCTGCCTACAGCACTGGGATGCTTTGTTTGTTAAGACAACAGACAGAGATAGACACCTTTGCCCCCAAGACATGCCCTTGACCGGAATCAAACCCAGGACCTTTCAATCCGCAGGCCGACGCTCTATCCACTGAGCCAAACCGGTCTCAGCTGTTTGTTTGTTTTAATTCCCTGCCTAGACAGAAAAGCCAGCAATCTCAAGGCTTGGCAAGAAAAAATTGCCAGGTGCTTCTCATGAATTATGGGAAGGCCACAACAAAATAAAAAGGGACCTTGAGAATTAATCTGTACCAAAATATTCATCAGAAGAATTTTGTGACCTATAGACAGGAGGGTATATAATGTCTCAAACCCCCACCCAACTGGCTCTTAATATTAGCTAAGAGCCGATCTGCACTTCATAAGACAGATGTACTGATTTGCAGGTTCTACAGATATAATCTATAATAATAATAAAAGTATAATATGCTAATTAGACCAGACATCCTTCCAGATGAAGTTCAGGTCCTGAGTGCCAGAGAGAAGCCAGAGCTGGCAGCTGGGGAAGGAAGGCCTACTCTTACATCAATTTCATGCATCAGGCCTCTAGTTCTCTAAATAAAAAAGATTGTCATCCCTACTGATATTCTAACATCTTCATGGAGTCCCAACAGCCAGCTCTCAATTCACAAGGATTTTCAGAAGGGGGGGGGGGGGGAAACTTGCTCTAACAATGACAAAAATTTAATTATAAGGTGAGTTGGAGATTATATGCACCACTTTTTATCCCCAAAGTAGAAAAGTGTATCCATAAGCCAGGAAAAAAGTCATACTCACACCATTGCCCTGAGCTTTCTATGAGCCAGCCTTCTCCAGGGGAGGACAAGTCATCAGGTATTTATTAGGAGCCCTGTATTAATTTGCAAGAAGAGGCCTCTAAGTTTTTCCTTTAAATAAAAAATAGCCATAAATGTCATATTTGCCTCCATTTGGGGCAGGATGGGGGAATCAAGGAGGCAAACAATTCCTCATTTGCCCATCCAGATCCATTTTCTTCTGTTAGAGCAGTCAAGTAACTGATCAGACTGCAATGGAACATTTAAATGGGGTATTGGGAGGGGCATTTTATACAGGACTTTTTCCGAAATGTGGGCAGGGTGTAGAGAAATCCCAAGTTGTTAAGAGCAGAAGCAAATCATAATCCTCTCAGCCTGAACAGGCAGGTGAAAGAAAAGGCTGGGTCCCCACACCTCAGAAGGAGGAAGTCACATGGAGAGGATCGCTAACATGAGCGGTGACCTTTGGTCAAAGGACTTTGACAACACTACAAGAATGGAGAAGGATGGAGGGGAGATCAGGTAGAGCAGGCAAAAGATAGCCAGCACTGCCCTTCCCTATCCTGCTGTGTACCCTGTACTCTGTACCCTGTGTCATCAGCCTTACCTACACATCTTTGTTTGATTCTTCTGGTGATTTAGCCAATGAAATTGGACTTCAGGAGGAGAAAGAAGTCAGGATTCATTTTTCATTTTCTGGCCATAGTTTGGGCAGTAGCTGAGTTCCCCTGGATAAGACCTCAGCTCCTATTGTGATAGGCACCTCTCACCCATACCAGAGAGGAGTTACCAGATGGGACAGCCCCCTGAGTCTGTGGGAGAGGACTGTCCCCAACCTGGATCCTTGTCTTCTCATATAAATGAATGTATATGAGAGACCTTGACTGTGCGGTGACAAGCCAACGTACTAAAGCAATTAAAGCATGCATCTTTATTGGAAAAAAAAAAAAAAAGTGACCGCAAAGCAAGCAAACCTACAACCTGGCTTGTGAAGTATAGACGGGCTCTCAGCTAATCTGAAGAGCAAGTTGGGTCTGAGGTGTTCTATACCCTCCTGTCTGTAGGCTTCAAAATTTCTCTGTTGACTATTTTGGTACAGATTAAATCTCAAGGTCCCCCTTTTTACCTTGTGGCCGTCCCAGAATTCACGAAAAACAACTGACAACTTTATCTTTCCAAGCCTTGAGACTGCTGGATTCTCTGCTTAGGAAGTAAAATGGTCTTTTTTTCCTTTTCCCGTTCTCCCTCCCTTTCTGCACTCTCATTAGGGAGAGTGTGTGTGTGTGTGTGTGTGTATGTTATACCATTTGCTCTGTGTCCTTGGGTGGGGAGGATAATGGCTTGCTAGTTACAAGCTGGCTGCCAATTGCCCACACAGTTTGGCCTTATTTTTTTAACTTTCTTTCCTCTGTTTCCCTATTCCTCTTACCCTGGAATCTTGTAACACTATTAGGCAGCTCACATCCTTGGCTACAGCTCTTGCTGCTATAGTAACATGGTTCATGCTTGTCCCTTAAATCTGAGGAAAACAACTTCCTTCTATGGGTCCCCAAGTTTGTCAACAGACTTTTTGGTCCCCATGAACCTGCCCAGATTTCTATAATTGGTCCTTCACTAATCTTCCTTCCATTAAACAGCTTAACACTGCCTTCTATTTTCTTCCAGGATCTTAAGTAATACAAGAATGCACAAAAGTATGCTTGCCCAGAATGAGTGGGATCAGCGTAAAGAGACTGAATCTTATAGGGATACTGGGTTCTCTCTAGGTGAAGAGAGATAATCCATTCTCAGTACTACCTTTCTCTAGCAAGAGAACTCTGAGTACCGCCAAGTTCCCCACTCCTGGAAGTGTTCAGAACTGACAGGGATGCCACAGAAGGGACATGAACAGCATTTGATGGGTGAGAAGGGTTAAACTAGATACGCAGCCTCCATATCTATTTGTCTTTCGTTTCATATTCTCTTACTCTTGGCAGTCCTTTCTAAAACCAAGACAGGGGGTGTCTTATTTTGGTTCCCCCCAAAACAGACCTGATCAATTCCTGTGTGTTTCTCCCAAGGCACCAAGCAGAACCTTTTCTTCTCCACAGCTAACACTGACCCAAGTGAACTGTGGTCGATTGGTTCCTTGTCAATTACAGGCAGTAAATGTGGGTGGGGAAATTGAGTTCTAGGCAGCTGCACATAGGAGAAGGACTTTGGATATTTCTAAACATACCAACCACCTGAAACCAGTGTGTTTGTTCTTTCCAGGGAAAGACAAGTTGCCTACAACAAGCCAGGGGGAAGAGAGGCGAGAGAGGCAGCCACTGGCAGAACAAAGTGAGTGTACTTAAGGGTTTCTATCTGTAGCTCAGGGATGCTGATAAGGTTTTCTTGCCACATTACACTTATGGTAACTCTGGATGTGGATAAGAGCCCATGGGAGGGTTCATTGTACTAGCTTTTGGGAGTCTGTTCCAAAAAAAAGAGAAAGAAAAATTCAGTCTGATTAGTCACTTTGCTCTCTGCCTTGTCAGACCCTGATCAGGGACCCCGGCCATGACATGTCAGACTTCTGACCTACACAGAGGTGAGCTAATAAATGAATTCTTTTTGAAGCTATTAAGTTTCTAATTTCTAGTACAAAGTGCTATCCTTTAAGAAAAATCAGGAAGATTTTCGACCAGAGAAATTGTTCAAATTCTCTGCTTCATAAGGACCCTAAATTGGAAATTTAGTTGCTCCCGGGTATGTTACTACAATTCGCTTTAACATTTTCTCTATAAAGTTCCTGCATGAAACAAGAGTTCTTTGTCTTCAGTTACCTTTTCTATAACACAAGAGTAGTACTATATCAAATCCCCCACAGAGTTATGAAAATTAGGGGTTATGTGTATAAAGACCTGTGAGAGCAGCTTAGAAACAAACTACAGTGAAAGTGATGTGATATGAAGTTACTTATTAGATACTCAGTTACTTATCGGATAGCTGTTATTCTACCTAATAAAAGAGTAATATGCTAATTAGACCAGACATCCTTCTGGATATCTTTCCGTCCAGATGAAGCTGCAGTGGGCAGAGGCGGAGGCAGAGGCCCCTGGCTGTGGCAGGTGGGAGGCCGGGGCCAAGGTCCTTGCACGAATTTCTCACATTGGGCCTCTAGTAACTACTGAATATTGTCACTGTTGTTTAGGATCTTAGACTCTTATAGAGGGGGTAAAGTATTTTAGTAAATATATGTATATCAGTTTATGGTATTGAGGAGAAAATGCAAGTAATGTCTGAAGAAAACGAAAATCCTATATAATAAAAGCTTAATATGCTAAGTGTCTGGCCATCTATTCAACCAATCAAAGTGTAATGTGCTAATGATATGCTAAGGTCACTCAACCATTCACTATGATATGCACTGACCACCAGGGTAAGATGCTCTAACTGGTACATTAGCTTGCTGCTGGGGTCCAGCTGATCAGGACTGAGCAACACAGGTAGAACATGCCCTGGAGCCCTCCCTGGCTGGCCAACCTCCCTCATCCCTCCTCAGTCCCAATCATGCACAGATGGAGTCCCTGGGCCTGGCCTGGGCCCTCTCGCATTTCAGGACCACTCAGGGGGATGTTGGAAAGCCAGTTTTGGCCTGATCCCACAGGCCAGGCCGAGGGACCCCACTGGTGCACAAATTTGTGCTTTGGGCCTCTAGTAGATTATAAATATCTCCTGATATAAAGAATGCCCTCTCTCAGGTGGGAGACTCAATTCTGTGTGATAAGTCATGTAAGAATGTTCTACTACTGAGAGCCCTACCAACATGGCTAATCAGCAGAGAACTTCTTGAGTATTTCTGAGGATGTACTCTACCATCAAATCTATTTCTGATATACTGCATAAATGACTCACTGGGATTCCATGAGTCATTACCTCTATCTAAAGTTTATTTAAAAGCTGCTTCTGGGTGTATTACTACAATTCACTTTCTTTTTCTCTAAATTCCCTGCATGAAACAAGTGTTCTGAATTCAAATGAAATGCACAGTGGAATGAGAAAAGTAAAATTAACTTACTTTTTATCAAAAAAAAAAAAAAAAAAAGGAAGAAGAAGAAGAAGAAGAAGAAGAAGAAGAAGAAGAAAAGACATTTTAAAAACCATACCAGAATTCACAAGTGACCTAGAACATTGAGCAGCATGAGCCCCTCAGTAAATATACTCAGCCCAGGCAATGGGCTTCCTTGGAGGATAAGGATCTCTCCACTTAATGAATATTTACGTGACTGGGAACTTTTATGTCCACACTCCCAGCCTCAGGGTACTTTCGCAGAAATTGAGAAAATCTGACTCACTGTTCTCCAGGAGACTCTAGCTCTGCAATGTTTAAATACCCTGCTAAGCTTGATGAGAGATACAAAAACGCCCTCTGTAGTGCTCATCACGTTAGGCTTTAGTTTTCTCACGTTAAACTGGGTTGGTGTGAGGATTCAGGATATATTTGTTTTGTTTATTTGTTAATTAAAAATTTTATACAATTGGGGTGACATTGGTTAATAAAATTATGTACTTTCAGGGATACATTTTTACATCTTCTGTATATTGTATGGTTAGCACTTCAACTTTCCTTCCATCATCATTTATCTCCATTTTACCCTCTACTACCTCCCTCCCTCCCGACTTCCCTCTGGCAGTCTCCATACTGCGTCTATGCCCAGGAGTCTTTCTTTCTCCTCTTTGCTTAACCCCTTCACCAATCTCATTCAGCCTTGTAGTGTGGTTTGATATCATAATTCCTCTAACTTTGTTCTTCTTTCTCAAGATTAATGTGGTTCATTTGGGGTTTTTGTGGTTCCATTTAAATTTTTGCAGTGTTTATTCTAGGTCTGTGAAATATGCTGTTGGTGTTTTAATAAGAATTGCATTGAATCTGGAGATTGCTTTGGGTAGTATGAACATTTTAATGATGTTGATTTTACCAACCTGTGAAGTGGTATATTTTTCCACTTGTTTATATCTTCCTCTATCTCTTTTATTAAAATCCTATAGTTTTTTGTGTACAGATCTTTTATCTCCTTGGTTAAGTTTATTCCTAAATATATTTTTTGTTGCAATGGTAAACTGGGTTTGTTTTTGTTGTTTTTTTAGTTTCTCTTTCTGAAAGTTCATTATCCTATATAATAAAAACCTAATGTGCTCAGTGTTCAGTCAAATGGTTGGCTGTTTAACCAATCAAAGCATAATATGTTAATGATAAGCCAAGGCCACTCAACCACTCGGTATTAATGCACTGACCACCAGGGGGAAAACACTCCAACCAGTAGATGAGCTTGCTGCTGGGGTCCAGTCCATTGGGATGGAGTGAGACAAGCCAGACACCCTTCTGTGGTCCCTCCCCAGCTGACCAACCTCCTGTGTCCTTCCCTGGACCCAATTGTGCACCCTCGGCCTGGCCTGCACCCTCGCACAATCTAGGACCACTCAGGGGATGTTGGAGAGCTGGTTTTGGCCCGATCCCCCAGACCAGGCCAAGGTCCCCCACTGGTGCACCACTGGGCCTCTAATTGGTATATAAAAATGCCATGGATTTGGGGGTGTTAATTTTGTATCCTGCTACGTTCCAAATTCATTCAAGTCTAGTAGCTTTTTGGTGGAGTCATTAGGTTTTTCTATGTACAGTATCATGTCACCTGGGAATCATGAGAGTTTTATTTCTTTCCAATTTGGATGCCCTTTTATTACTTCTTCTTTTCGGATCACTATGGCTAGCACTTCCAGTGCTATATTGAATAAACATGGTGAAAGCAGACATCCCTGTGTTTCTGATCTGAGGAAAAACGCTTTTAGTTTTTGCCCACTGAGTATGATGTTGGCTATGGGTTTGTCATAGATGGCCTGTATTATGTTGTGATATATTTTCTCTATTCTCACTTTGCTGAGAGTTTTTATCATAAATGGGTACTGGATTTTATCAAATGCTTTTTGTGCGTTTACTAATATGATCATGTTGTTTATGTGGTATATCACACATACTGTTTTGTGGATATTGTACTTACTTTGCACCCCTGGAATAAATCCCACTTGAACATGGTGTATGATCTTTTTAATGTATTGCTGGATCTGTTTTCCAATGCTTTACTGAGGATTTTAACGTCTATGCTCATCAGGGATATTTACCTATTATTTTCTTGCTTTGTAGTGTCTTTATATGAACTTGGAATTAAGGTAATGCTGGCTCTTAAAATGAGCTTAGGAGTCTTACCTCCTCTTGAATTTTTTGGCATAATTTCAGAAAACTAGGTGTAACTTCTTTGAATGTTTGAGAAAATTTACCTGTGAAGCCCAGCAGGTTCAGGACTTTGGTTTGTTGGAATTTTTTATTTTATTTTATTACTGCCTCAATTTCACTGGTTGTGATCTGTCTACTAAGATTATCTGATTCTTCCTGATTCTATTTTGGAATAGTGTACATGTCTGGGAGAGTGTCTAATTTGTTGGCATATAGTTGTTCATAATATGTTCTTACAATTCTTTGTATTTCTTTTGTGTCAGTTGGTTCTCCTCTTTCATGTCTGATTTTATTTATTTGGGTTCTCTATCTATCTATCTATCTATCTCTCAGTATGTTTTTATTAATTTCAGAGAGGAATGAAGAGGGGGAAAAAGATAGAAACATCAATGATGAGAGAGAATCATTTATCGGCTGCCTCTTGCATGGCCCCTACTGGGGATTGAGCCTGCAACCCGGGCATGTGCCCTTGACTGGAATTGAACCGGGATCTTTCAGTCCACAGGTGGATTCTCTAACCACTGCCACTGAGACAAACCATCTAGGGCCTTGCTCTTTTTTTCTTGAGGAGTCTACTTAAAGTTTTGTTGATCTTTATATTTTCACAGAACCTGCTCTTGGTTTCATTGATCTCTTTTTTTATTTTTATGAGTCCATTTATTTCACCTTTTGTTTTTATTATTTCCATTCTGTCCTTCTACTCACTTTGGGCTTTGCTTGTTCCTTTTTCAGTTTCTTAAGTGTAAAGTTAGCTTGTTTACTTGAGATTTTCATTGTTTCTGGAGGTAGGCCTGTAATGTTATGGATTTTGCTCCTAGGACTGCTTTCCTTGTGTCCCATAGATTTTTGGTTGTTGTGTTCTCATTTTCATTATTTTTTTCAATGTATCTTTTTATTCCTTTCTTGATCTCATTGTTAACCCATTCATTGTTTAGTAACACATTATTTAGCCTCCATATCTTTATGTATTTTCCAGTTGTTTTTTTGTGATTGCTCTTTGAAAGTGCTCTCTAACTACTATCTAATATCTCTAAAAAAGAACTAATAAACTCATAGGGGGATGAGATGCTCATCGTTTCAATATAAATCTTAGTGCACATGTGAGAGATGACTCTTATTGCTTTTATTTTTTTATCAGCATGAATTCAATGACTTCAACAGACTCTAAGGCCAATACTGTGTTTGTGGCAGCACCCCACAATGGACATCCTGTGATCCCTGGAAACATGTCTCAGGTGCCCCAATATCCACTTAACCAGCCCCAAGTCTACATAATTTCTGGGAACCCACCTGGTTTGGAGCCGCCTGTATATACGCAATTTGACCAGAGATCCTTTAAAGCGGGAAAAGTATTAGGGGTAAGTGAGATTTCACACTGCATCCACTGGCCATGTGGCTGGAGTCAAGAGGTGGGAGGTGGTTTGGAAACACAAAACCTCCAAATTCTGCAGGTGGCCCCAGAGCTGGCACACCCTTGCCAAACTCAGGTTTGTTAAGAAGCTCAGCTCTAGAGCATCACAAGGGCTTCTGGGTGGGACCTTGTATTATCTATCTTGGGCATTTTAGGAAAGAGAAAGAAAAGCAACAAAGAATCAATAAATTGGAATATTGGTCCTATTGCCAGAATCTATGTTGACCCATGCGGCCTCTGGAAGAAGTGTGTCCAGCTAGACAGAAGGTGGATTCTAAGCCCAGTTTGTTTGAATGGAATCTTTCTCCAATGGGAACAAGATAAGAGCTCTCGCTGATGTTCCCCAAAATGGCTGTCCTGTGTGGGAAAGGGGATGCCCATTTATTTGCATGGTTGAATGATGACCATGGGTTCTGATCCAGGATGCTCAGGTTGAAATCCTAACTCCACCCCCATATACTGCTCATAGTAATGTCAAGTCATATGAAAATAGCCAATAATTCCATTTGTGAGACTTTGTCTTGCAGCCATGACTGTACACACAAGAAATATGACATGTATGCGTTTTTGATTTTTGTTTTTTGTTTGTTTTTTTAATCGAAGCATGTCTTATGATAGAAAAAGAACAGAAATAACTGAAATACCCATCAATGTAATACTGGTTAAATCAATGTATTGTACATACAAAGAATGTATTGTACATAAAAAGAATGAAATGTGGAGGTTAAAAAGAAACCTCCTTGTACAATGATATGGACATATCCACAAGCTATATAATTAATGGTGGGTGGGCTAAGAGCAAACATAGTGTGTAATTTGCTACCATTTGTAGTTCTTTGAGTCAGGGGAAATTATGGCAAGTTTTATTTATATATTATTCATATAACTTTTTAGACCAAGAAAAGGAAATATTTTTAAAATAAAAATGAAGCAAAACAGTGCAAAGGGTGGGAACTGTGTGCAATCCAGTCTCAGAAACAAAGTTCTCAACCTCTGGCTTTCCTGACAGGCCATGCAGATACTGATCGGACTGATACACATTGTCCTGGGCAGCATTCTGGGGACCATCATCAGTTTGTCATTCTTAGGATGCTATCCCTTCTTGGGAGGTATCTTGGTAAGTAATGTGAGTTGCCCTGCAAGTGAGTTCCAGAAAGTGCCAACACTCAGAGGCCCACCTTGGCAAGTTGTGTACTTTGCTGCAGAAGTTTTCCAGCAATAGAGCACGTGGCTGTGAACCCAGCTCCCGCTTTATTCACCAAGAACGTTAGTCCACTTGGACAGCCAGAACAAATACCACAGACTGGGTGGCTAAGCAACATATTTTTACTATCTCACTATCTCACTAGACGCCCAGCGCACAAAGTTGTGCGGGTAGGGTCCCTAGGGCCTAGCCTGCTGCGGTCAGGGTCATCTTCTGACTGTTTGCCAGTCCCTAGGCCGAATGCCACCTCCATTGCCAGGCTGTCTGACCGTTGGGGTCAGCAGCTCATCCCCAGCTGCTCGGGGGCTCAGGCCTGGAGGAAAGCAGGTGTTGGTGACTTCACCTCCATAAGCTGCCGGCCATTGATGGAAAACGCTGCCCCTTCTGGGCCGCTCACACAGGGGTGGGTAGGTCGCTGGTGTGATCTGCAGCTTCAGTCAGTGCCTCAAGCCCCAGCAGCAGCAGCAGCAGCAGTGGCGGTGATGGCACCCAGGTGAGTGGCCCTGAGCAGGCAGCTTGTTCGATCAGTGACCAGCCTGCCACACGCACATGGAGGTGAAGTCACCGGTGCCTGCTTTCTCACAGGCCTGAGCTCCCGAGCAGCTGAGGATGAACTGGTGATTCCAATGGCCTGACAGCCAGCCCGGTCCTCCTGCCACCCACCTCAATTCCCCTGTTCACCATTAATGATCCATCAGAGCCTGGGGGCTCGGAGCAGGGACTAAGAGGTCAGCCTTTCAGCCCGCTTGCCAGTCTCCAGTCTCACGCTGCCCCGCTCGGGCAGTAGGGACCAAGAGGTGACCAGTCCTTTGGTCGTCACAGTCATCATGGACACTAGCTTTTTATATACATAGGTAGTTCTGGATGCTGGAAGTCCAAGATCAAGGTGTGGGAAGGGTTGTTTCTCCTGAGGCCTCTTTCCTTGGCTTGTAAATGACTGTCTTCCTCCCTGTGTCTTCACATGGCCTTCCCTCTGTGTCTGTCTGTGTCCTCATAGCTCTTCTTATAAGAACATCGGTTATATTGGGTTAGAACCAACCTGTATGACCTCATTTAACCTTAATCACCTCTTTAAAGGCCCTATCTTCAAATTCAATGCTCCTCAACTTATGATGGTGTTACATTCCCAAAACCTCATCATAAATTGAAAATATCCTGCATCAAAAGTGCATTAAATTCTACAGTGTAGAGAATGGATTGTTTACCCTCATGATTGTGTGGCTGACAGGGAGCTGAGGCTGGCTACTTCTGTGTAGCATCACCAGCATATAACTCACCCAGGAAAAGATCAAAATTCAAGATCCAAAGAACAGTTCCTACTGAATGCATATTATTTTCACACCATTGTAAAGGGGGAAAAAAAGTCCAACTATAGTGTGTCTGGAAACAACTATAGATACATTCACATTTGGAGATCCTGGGTGTTAGGACCTCAAAATATGGATTACCAGGAGACAAAATTCAGCTCATCCACCAAGTGACGGCCCTGTAAGGCGCCATTATCCCACAGTGGGCACCTTTCCTAATGAGCCCAACTCGGAGGTCAGGAAACCTTTTCCTACTCCATCAGCCAAGCGCTCACATGCTCTTCGCAAGCTCAGGGCTGGAGCTCCAGAAGAAAAATGTTTCCATCAGGAGTTAAGAGTAGCTGCCCAGCAACAAAACAGTCATTAAAATTAAACACTAGGACTCAACCTGGAATCTACAGATTAATATTTTTTTTCTGGAAAAGCCCATAGTTTTTATCACATTCTCAGGATTACCTGGAACTCCTTAAAAGGTTAAGGACCTCCCTAACTGGTTTGGTTCAGTGGCTAGAGCATTGGCCTGTGGACTGAAGGGTCCCAGGTTCAATTCCGGTCAAGGGCATGTACCTTGGTTGGGATGTTCAGGAGGCAGCTGATTGATGTTTCTCTCTCATTGATGTTTCTAACTCTCTATCCTTCTCCCTTCCTCTCTGTAAAAAATCAATAAAATATATATATATTTTTTAAAAGGTTAAGAACCACAGGTCCTTTCTCTTTTACATTCTTCCTAGCGCCCTCCTTTCCACACACATACACACATGCACACACACACACACACACACACACACACACACACACACTCAATTTCTCCTCTCCTCTCACCACCCATCTCCTTTTCTCCCTGCTATAATGTAGTCTGTTTCTCAACTTGAACACTTTTCTGTGATTCAAAACAACTTTTCTCAACAATAGTAAAACTCCAGCCCGAGCTGGGTGGTTCAATGGTTAGAGCGATGCTCTGGAACTGAAGGGTTTCAGGTCCATTTCCGGTCAAGGACACATCCCCACCTGCAAGTGGGGCCCGTGCGGGAGGCAACCAACCCATGTTTCTCTCTCTTTCTGTCTCTCCCCCGGGCTTCCTCTTTGTAGAAATCAATGGAAAAAATATCCTAGGATAAGGATTAGCAACAACAACAAAAAGACAAGTATTAAAACTCCAAAGTAACCTGCACACGAACCCAAGTCACGGTACACCATGAGAATTAAACAAAATTGCCTACAACTATCTGCCACCTTCACGCTTACATAGCATCTGCAAAATGGCAGGGCTCATGTTTTGGGGGCACTGTTGTCTGCGTACCTCCTCTCTTGTCTCATCTTCTGAGGCTGAGTTCTTCTCTGTGTCCTGCATAGACCCAGATTTGCAGCTCAGCCAACCACAGATACTTGTGTATAGAACATATTTCAGTGGAGTTTGGGGTCAATGGAGAAGACTAACACCACAGCCACAAAACAGTTTCTTACCGCATACCACTTCAGTGTTCAATTCCCTTCAGGCACCTCAAATGCCTTCCTGGCCATCTCCCCTTCACCAGGCTGCTCAGGTCCCATCAGCCCTCATGACACCACTCTCCCTTTGTTCTGCAAGGCACTTTTTCCTTTTGTTGCCTTCTTTTTAAAAAATTTATTTATTTTTTATTGTAGAGAGAGAGGAAGAGAAACATTAATGTGAGAGAAACATCAGTCGGCTGCCTCCCGCACACCCCTATTGGGGATTGAGCCTTTAACCTGGGCATGGGCTCTGAGGAGGAATCTACCCAGCAACATTTTGGTGTAGGGGACAATGCTCAACCAACTGAGCCACACTGGCCAAGGCCTTTGTTGCCTTCTTGACTCCATGACTATCTATTTCCTAAAGATCATTAACGTCCTCCTTAAAACCAAAGGCTTGTCTCCTCAAAAGGATCAGAAGGGATATTAGAAGTCCAGCTTTCTGTTTCCGTTCTTCTGCATCATGTCTGTATAAAAATAAGGATGTAATATTGATATGTATTTTCCACTTATGGGAACATGGCACTCCTTTTACAAGGCACAGGTGGTTAGAGTTAGTTTTCTTTTCTTTTTTTCTAGGTACTTTTTTTTTTATTATTAAATTATTATCTGTGTACATATTTTAACATTACCCCCCCTCCCATATATACCCTCCCTCCCCATCGTTTTGTGTCCATTGGTTGTACTTATATGCATGTATACAAGTCCTTCGGTTGATCTCTTATCTCCCCCAGATCTCCCTACTTTCTCGGCTGTAATTTGACAGTCTGCTTGTTGCTTTACTGTCTTTATATCTGTCTTTTGGTTCATCAGTTTATAATGTTCTTTAATATCCATAAATGATGTGGTATTTCTCTTTCATTGACTTGCTTTTTCACTCAGCATGATGTTCTCTAGTTTTATCTAGGTTGCTGCAAATGATGAGAATTCCTTCTTTTTTCTGGCAGCATAGTATTCCATTGTGTAGATGTACCAAAGTTTTTGGATCCAATCATCTGCTGACGGGCACCTAGGCTGTTTCCAGATTCTAGCTATTGTATAATATAGATTGTGCTGCTATGAACATAGGGGTACATATATCCTTTCTGATTGGTGTTTCTAGTTTCTTGGGATATATTCCTAGGAGTGGGATTACTGGGTCAAATGGGAGTTCCATTTTCAGGTTTTTGAGGAAACTCCATACTGTTCTCCACAGTGGTTGCACCAGTCTGCATTCCCACCAGCAGTGCACAAGGGTTCCTTTTTCTCTGCAACCTCGCCAACACTTGTCATTTGTTGATTTGTTGATGTTGGCTATTCTGACAGGTGTGAGATGGTACCGCATTGTTGTTTTGATTTGCATCTCTAGGATAATTAGTGACTTTGAGCATGTTTTCATGTGCCTTTTAGTCTTTCTTCTGTCTTCTTTTGAAAATATTCTATTTAGGTCCATTGCCCATTTTTAAATTGGATCATTCATCTTCCTTTTATTTAGTTGTATAAGCTGTCTGTAGATGTTGGAGATTAAACCTTTATCAGTGATAACATTTGCAAATATGTTCTCCCATATAGTGGGCTTTCTTGTTGTTTTGTTGATGGTTTCTTTTGCTGTAAAAAAGCTTTTTATTTTTTTTTTATTTTTTATTTTATTTTTTTAAAGGATTTATTTTTTAAAAAATATATTTTATTGATTTTGTACAGAGAGGAAGGGAGAGAGATAGTTAGAAACATCGATGAGAGAGAGTCATCGATCAGCTGCCTCTTGCACACCCCCTACTGGGGATATGCCCGCAACCAAGGTACATGCCCTTGACCGGAATCGAACCTGGGACCTTTCAGTCCCCAAGCCGACGCTCTATCCATTGAGCCAAACCGGTCCAGGCCAAAGCTTTTTATTTTGATGTAGTCCCATTTGTTTATTTTCTCTTTAGCTTCCATTGCCCTAGGGGAAGTATCAGTGAAGAAGTTCTTTTGGCATATGTCTGAGATTTTGCTGCCTGTGGATGCCTCTAGTATTTTTATGGTTTCCCATCTTATGTTTAAGTCCTGTATCCATTTTGAGTTTATTTTTGTGTATGGTGTAAGTTGGTGATCTAGTTTCATTCTTTTGCATGTATTTGTCCAATTTTCCCAACACCATTTATTGAAGAGACTTTCTTGACTCCATTGTATATTCGTGCCTCCTTTGTCAAATATTAATTGAGCATAGTGATTTGGGTTGATATCTGGGTTCTCAATTCTATTCCATTGATCTATATGTCTGTTCTTGTGCCAGTACCAGGCTGTCTTGAGAACAGTGGCTTTGTAATACAGCTTGAAGTCTGGTATTGAGATCCCTCCTACTTTACTCTTCTTTCTCAGGATTGCTGTGGCTATTCGGGGTCTTTCACTGACCTAGAAAGAACTCTTTAAAAGTTCATTTGGAACAATAGAGTTAGTTTTTATTGTGACCATCCATTTCCATCCCAAGGCACATGCATCTACCCTGAGCTGGAGTAAGTACCGAATGAGGATTAAGAACATGACATCTGGAGTCAACTACCTGGATTTGATTCCAAGATAAGCTATTTGCCGAATGATCTGAGATGAGTTATTCAAAATATCTAAGCCTTAGTCCACCCCTCTATAAAATGGGAATAATGATGATGCTTGATGGACCATTGTGCAGTTAAGGAAGGCAAAGTTAAAAGAGCACTTCATGTAGGGCTCAGAAAAGCTTCCATTAAACCATAGCTGATGTCCTCTCAGACTCTCGCTGACAGCAGGAAATCCCATTACCACTATGCCTGCACATCATCAGTGTTGAAATAAATGCACACAATCTACCCTGTAGCCCTCATAGTTGATCTTGGGCATCATAAAGATGCAACATTTTTCTGATTAACTAAAAGGTACTCACCAAATTGTAGACAGGTAAGGACTGATGTTGGGCTTCTATCTAAAAGCAGTGAAAATACAGAACCCTTTCCTTCTTCCCTCAAGAGCTCCCATGCCTGAGTGAACCCTTTAAGGAGGCCAACAAGATGTGCATGTGGGAAGATAAAAGGCAAGAAAAGGAGTAATTTTGTTGAGTATCTACCATGTACAGGATCTACCATGGGCAAGATATACCAAATGCTAGATGTAAGGGACTGATTATCTCAATAACAATTAGGAAGACAAATAGTTTTTCCATTTTTTTTAAAGAAGAGCTATACACTTAGAGAAATTAAAAACTTACTCAAGATCACTTGAGTTTCAAGTTAAAGTTTAAAACCAGGTGTACTGGATTCTAAAATACATGTTTATCTCACTGCCCTATGAGGGGTGCAAAATAGTCTATCCTTCCTTCCTTTCTCCCTTCCTCCCTCCCTCCCTCCTTTCTTCCCTTCCTTTTTTTCTTTCTTCCTTCCCTACTTCTTTTCTCTTCTCTTCCCCTCTCTCTCCTCAGTTGAGTGGGAGATCCTATTCGAGTGTCCTAGCATGTATGAGAGAATATATGTGTGACCAGAAACAAAGAAGCCTGAAGGTGCGGTCCTGAACCAATCTCTTTCTAAACGCCCTCTCTTCTGTGCCAGTTCATCATTGCAGGATCCCTCTCAGAGGCATCATACAGGAAACCGAGATCTTCTAGCCTGGTAAGTCCAATCCTGAGACAGGCTCTCTGAACTGTGGACCTTTAGGAGAGACATATAACGGGGGAAAGAAACCCACAAACAATGCCTCCCTCATCCTTGCACCTACTTATAGCCAGACATAGGGCGTTGACACGCAGGCTCACTTACAGGACCTCATGGACCTGGACAGAGTCACAGTTGGGAAAGAATTCAGGAGACTCGGGAAAAAGAAAGACAACAACCAACTTGTTTAGGCATCAGGGTGTGGAGAGACGGAGACAATAACTTTCCTAAGATCTTACAAGAGGAAGCAGAAAGCTACCTGGGGTGCAGGGCTCCCCTCCAGCAGAGCAGGCACTGACTGCATGCAGCACACAAAGCCCAGTTCCAACATTTCTACAGGGAGGCCAGAGGAGGGTCACACGGCAGCTTCTCTGAGGAATCCTGCCAAATAATCAACGTGAATCAACGTGAGCAAGGCTTGGTGGTCCTCAAGCGTTAGACCAAGAAAGTACCTTGGCTTCTCTCACAAGCAGGTTATCTGGGCCCCAGAATGAACAAGCCCCAAACCAGCTGAGATCTATTTTTAAATGCCTTTCTGCACATTTACCAGAATTTTGGAGCATCAGAGCCTGTCGTATCCCAAGACACTTGGGTTAAGTTTTCTGCCCATCTCTTGAAGGATAAATGGGTCAAGTGTTCCCCAAAGTTTATTCTTGGGGACATTTGTCCCCTGAGACACTTTATGAAGATGATTAGATAAACTTGGGGGGTGGGGGTGGAAATCTCTATTTAGTAGTCCACTTCTGGAAGATCCAGAATCTAAGTTATAGGCTCTGAGAAGTCCTGCACAAAATACCTGTTGAACATTTTTTCATCCCAGCTGTTTTCAAAGCTAATTTACCACAATTTCAATTTTTTTGCATAGTATATCTCTTGCTCCAGAACTAGGATTCTGGGGATTCACATTAAGGATCACATGTTTAATCTATTGTCAGCTCAACTACAATCATTTTTCTCTCACACCCTGACCGTCTGTGTCTTCTTCAGCTGAATGGCAGCTTGGGCTTGAACATCACCAGTATAATCTGTTCTATGGTTGGATTCATGTTGTTCTTCATGAAGCTGTTTGTCAATCTCCACTATAGTTTTGTGAGTATCTCTCTTGACCAAAGCTCCTCTAGGTTCCAATGGAGCTATGTTTAGGAAATCATGGAAAGGGCCTGACCACCAAGCTTCTTCACCAAGCACCAAAGAAAACAGAGGTGTTATTAGAATCAGAACAGAGTTTCACGTGTGTAGCTTTATTGCTATTACTCTAAGCATGTGACTTCTTAGCCTTGGTTTCTATCTTTATAAAACAGTACCATCAGTAGATAGTGGATAAAAAAGTTAGGATACATTTACACCGTGGAATACTATGCAGCTGGGGGAAAAAAAGGAAGGATCTCTTAGCCTTTGAGACAGCCTAGAGGAACCTGGAGAGCATTATGCTAAGAGAAATAAGCCAGTCAGAGAATGACAAGTATTGCTTGATCTCACTTATATGTGGAATCAAGTAAGCTATTGAACAAAATAGATCTAGAGACATAAAAGCATAGAACAGACTGTTGAATCTCAGAAGGAAGACAAAAGTCGGTGGGTGGGTAGATGGCTGGGTGGAAAGAGATCAATCAAAGAACTTGTTTACATATATGTATAACCCATGGGCACAGACAATAGGGTGGTGGAGGCCGGGGGTGGAGGCAGGCTCTAAGCAGTCAATGGAAGAAAGAAAAAAAAAAAAGACATATGTAATAATTTCAACAATGAAGCTTTTTTAAAAAGAATAGGAAAAAACAGTTCCTATTTTATGACATTGTTGGGAGAATTAGATGTAGTTATACAGATAATGCACCGTGTCTACCAGGCTTCACCTCTACTAAATACTTGCCTTCTTGCCCATTTATTTAGGAAAGAATGTTTGTTGTTAAAACTACATTGGAGCCCAAAAGGTTTGGCTCAGTGGACAGAGCGTCGGCCTGTGGACTAAGGGGTCCCTGGTTCCATTCCAGTCAAGGGCATGTACCTTGGTTGCGGGCACATCCCCTGTAGGGGGTGTGCAAGAGGCAGCTGATCGATGACTCTCTCTCATCAATGTTTCTAACTCTCTATCCCTCTCTATTTCTCTCTGTAAAAAATCAATAAAATATGTACTTTTTAAAAATACGTTGAAAAAGGACCAGTTTCATTGGCAAAGGGCCCTTCTCCCTAAGCTTCTGTGATTCCTTGACTAAGACATCATCATCCTGCTATGGCCTTGCCTGGACATATATGTCCAAACCCACATCTTCCATTGAGGAACTATCTCTCCTTAGTGCCTCGAGACACTATTTTTGTGTCTAACCATCTCTGATTTGAATTATAATTATCTACATCTTTTCTGCCATTCTCACTACATTGTGCCTCTCAGGATGCTTTCTTAACCATTCGTAGCAAACAGATGTTTAATAAATGCTTGCTACATAGGGAGGGAAGAAACAGAAAGTGAACAAAAGGGGTCTTTCCATAAGAGGATTCTCTGAGCAGCCAGCTATCACCAAGGCCATGTTAAAAATCATAATTGACAAATATTTGTTTGGGACCTACCATGTGCCATGCACTTTCACTTTCACATTTATTTTCTCATGTAATTGGAATCCAAATGGTTATTGGGGTCACTCATCTCTTGTCTTTTTATGATTAAAGTGGGTTCTACCCAAACTTTCTCCCCAGATACTGTGAGGGACCCTATTTTCCTGAGCATTGCTGGAGAACAGCATCTAATTCTCCCAACAATGTCATAACATAGGAACTGTATTTTCCTTTTTTTTAAGCTTCGTTGTTGAAAGTATTACATATGCCCCCTTTTTTTTTCTTCCACTGACTGCTTAGAGCCTGCCCCCACCCCCGGCCTCCATCACCTTGTGCCCATGGGTTATACATATATGCAAACAAGTTCTTTGATCTCTTCCCACCCACCCACCCACCTACCTTTGCCTTCCCTCTCCGTGGCTTGTTCTTACTCCCAAATTTCTCTTCACTTCCTACACAGAACAGTTTCACTAGTTCACTCTCTCACTCCAAACCCCATCCTTAGGTCTCGTGCCCTGTACCTAAAACAAGTCACCACGGTGTTTCCCTAAACAATGTTTCCCTTAGAAGAACACGGGTCATAAGTGTTAAAATAATTCTTGTGCAAGGACACTTGACCCTCACAAAACCTGGGGAGATCATTTCTCCACGAGGCTGAGACGAGGTGAGAGGTCTTCCTCAAAGCCCTAGCCCCGGTCCATTGCAGAGCCATGTTCTGGGCCAGACCTCGCACTCCCGGGACAGCCCTCATGACCTCCATGTTCTGTCTTGTTCTAGGTCCCTGGAATAATTACTACTGCCCTGCTGATCATCTTTAGCTTCCTGGAGTTCTCCATTGCCGGCATGGCTATCCACTTTGGCTCCCAACTCCGCCAGGCACAGAAGAGAGTGAGTCTGTGGGCTCTTCCCAGGGTGTAAACATGCCCCCAAAGAGCATGGGGACCCGAGGGGCCTGCAGGCTCCCCTTCCTGCCCAGAAGGTCTGAAGGCCTTTTTGCATACACGGTTCTCACTAATGCACCTCCTGTGCCTGTCTTTTCCAGGGATCCTTCCAAACAGTCTACGCCAATCCAGGGCTGGTGAACTCGCCACCATATCATGTCAATGTGGCCCAGGCCTCCGGATAAGCCAAAAGTTCTAGAAGCGTCTTTCACTGGGACCAACAGAAGAACCTCCCCTTTCTAGGCTTCTGAAATTCAGCTCCTTCCTTCCCTGACAAACTAAGGAATATGTTTCCCCCAACTGTTGGCACCCCTGACTTCATTCTCTTCAGCCTGTAAATCATGCTATTCCTCTGTTTAAAAAGGAGATGGGACTTTGAGGTGGATTTGAGCAAAGAGGTCCTCCCTAAGACACCAACTTGTGGAACGTCCAGTGCACATATCTATTTACTTACCTGTGTGAGGTTATGAATTAGCGGATCCAATGTCTTAGACAGCCCCAGCTTCACCCTCCCAATCATTCACGCACTGAATAAAAGTGCCCTGAACATTTGATATGTTCCAGCCTCTCTCTTCATGGCAGGAGGGGGGTGGGGTGAACGTGAGTGAACACACAAAGTCCTGGAATGTATAAACCGTTTGCTCCTAAGTGTCCTTGTCTAAGGAAGATGAAACCTTGCGATTCATTAGCTGGCTGTAAATTACTGAAGTCGTTTGGCTTTAATTATTTAGTCTCAGTTTTCCTTATTCCATCTGTCAAGGAATTTCTCTATTCTAGCTTCCTACTACCCTGCCTCAATATTTACCAAGTTATTCTGCTTAATGCCCTTTGACTTGAATTATCTCATTTCATAGCCAAACATCACAGAGTGGCATTGTCTGTGTCTTAAGAACAAGGAATATGAAAAATCTGGGACTCAGAAAGGCTAGGTAACTTCCCCAAGTCCATACAACTAGGAATTGTGGAAGCTGGATTTGAATCCATGTTCTCTACTTCCATATTCCATGCTATTGACCACCTCCTCTTGTCATATCTATTTTCCTCATGGCCACAGGGGGCACCAGGACCAATGAGCCTGCTGCACGGTGAGCCTTGGAGAGCAGTGAAAAGACCTGGGTGCAGGGTGTGAATTGGAGTGCAACACGGAAATGAGTAGGACCCCCTCAGACGTGCACTGGGCCATGAGGGAGATAGGGGGCATTAGAAAGGACAGCATGGCTCACTGGAAAAGGAACGTAAGTTCCCAAACACTGGCACGCCATGAAGCCAGGAAAGGACTAGAGGAGAGCATTCATGGGTGGAGAACCGGTTCGAGGAAAGGCTGCTTTCGGCAAGAAAATGTAGAGCATGGGAGGGGAGACTGTTAAAAGTCTCTGAGGATAGACAGATATGCCCAAAGGGGAGGGTGAGTAGAGCAGGGCCCAGGGAAATCATTCAAGAGTGTTGTCCAATTCAGGGGGTATAAAGGGCAGAGAGTGACGGAGGGGTGCAGGCTGACAAGCCACAGAAAGGCTAGTTCTATGTATGGAAGACCTGAGCCAATGCAGGACCAACCAGAGAGGAAAATCTTTAGTTTCTAGAGAAATGGGACTTCTGTCTGTTTTGTTCACTGACGTCTTCCCAGTGCTGGGTCATAGTTGGCCCCAGTACATGTTTTTTGATATATTACTTGAAGGAATGGCAGTTGAGTTGTCCCATTCAGACTCACAGAATTCATTACTGGACTGCTGTACTCAGATTATCCACAGGGGGGTACTATTGCAACACCTGCCTGCAAGGGTGAGAGCCCTCCAGGACTGTCAATTGGGTTTTCTTTTCAGACCCCTTGAATTCATTACTAGGGTGCTGTTCTCAGAATTCACACAAGGGGTGCTATTGGGCCCAATCCCTTACTAGGGTGCTGTGTCAGAATGATCACAAGAGGCCAGTATTGCGACTAATCTATTACTAGGGAGCTATTCTCAGAATGTCCACAAGAGGGGAGATTAAAAATGGTGGCAGAATAAATGGATACTATTCAGACATGCTCCTAGGACCAAACTGGAATTACAACTAAAATAAACACACACACACACACACACACCACCATCCTGAATAATCAACTGAAGACTAGCTGGAGATAACCCTGATAACCAAGGATGGAAAGTGGAGACCACACAGAGACTGGTAGGAAGGGTGGAAGTGCAAAAGGTCTGGCCAGGCTCCCGCAGACAGCAGCTGACTTCCAGAGAGATATCTCAGTGGTGGAATGTTACCACTGAGACTTTAGGCTCTAATCCCCAAGCTGGCCCCCCAGCAAAGAGCACCAGAAGTGGGAAAGGTGCCCACATAACATCTGGCTTTGAAAACCAGCAGGGTTTCTGTCAGGTAGAGATGGCAGGAAATGCAGGCACCCTCTTAAAGGGCCAACACACAGAATTTCGTGTCTAGCCATTCAACTTGTGCTCTGGCAGAGGGCAATATTGCAACACTTCCTTGCAGGTGAGAGTACTTTATCAATAGGGTTCTGTTCTCAGAATGTCCACAAGCGAGCACCATTGTAACATCTCCCTGCAGGACAAGAGGCCTCTAGGACAGTGGTGCCAACTGGTGGTTCGTGGACCACTGGTGGTCCATGAGGTTTGAAACATTGGCGACCACTGTTCTAGGTCTATCAATAGGGTGCTGTTCTCAGAATGTCCATAAGAGGGCACTATTGCAACCCTTCCCTGCAGTGGGAGAGTTCTCTAGATCTATCAACTGGGTTTTCTTTTCAAACTGGCAGAATTCCTTACTAGGATGCTGTTCTCAGAATGTCCACCAGAGGACACCATTGCAACATCTCCCTACAGGGAGAGAGCTCTCTAGGTCTATCAGTATAATGCTGTTCACCCTAGCCAGTTTGGCTCAATGAATACAGTGTTGGCCTGTGGACTGAAGGGTCCTGGGTTTGATTCCGGTCATGGACATATGCCTGGGTTATGGGCTCAATCCCCAGTAGGGGACATGCAGCAAGCGACTGATCAATGACTCCCAATGATGTTTCTATCTCTCTCCCTATCTCTCTAAAATAATACAAATATTTTTTAAATAGAGTGTTGTTCTCCAAATGTCCACAAGAGGGCACCATTGCAATACTTCCCTGCTGTGGGAGAGCCCTTCAGGTCTATCAATTGGGTTTTCTTTTCAAACTGGTATAATTTTTTACTGATGTGCTGTTCTCAGAATGTCCACAACACTTCCCTGCAGTGAGAGATCCCTTTAGCTCTATCAATTGTTTTTTTTTTCTTGAAACTGACAATTCTTTACTAGCGTGCTGTTCTCCAAATGTCCACAAGAGGGCACAACTGTAACACTTCCCTGCAGTAGAAGAGCCATATAGTTCTATCAATTGGGTTTTATTTTCAAATTGACAGTATTCGTTACTGAGGTGCTGTTCTCAGTATGTCCACAACAGAGCACTATTGCAATACTTCTCTGCAGTGAGAGATCCCTTAAGCTCTATCAATTGTTTGTTTGTTTTTTCCTTCAAACTGGCAGAATTCTATACTAGGGTGCTGTTCTCAGAATGTCCACAAGAGGGCACTATCACAACACTTCCCTGCAATGAGAGATCCCTTCAGCTCCATCAATTGGTGTTTTTTTTCTTGAAACTGTCAGAATTCTTTACTAGGGTGCTGTTCTCAGAATGTCCACAGGAGGGCACTATTGCAACACTTCCCTGCAGTGGGAGAGCCCTCTAGATTTCTCATTAGGGTTTTCTTTTCAGACTCATATATTCTGTCATTTTCCACATATCCAACTACTTTCAGGATGATTCTTCAAAAATTTTTCTTTACCATAAATAGCACTGCTCTAAACAGCTCTGTACAAATTGTTATTTTCCCTCCTGTCTCCTTTTGATTTTTCCCCTTGGAATGCTATCTCAAAAGTGGATTTATGAGGTCAAAAGATCCGTTTAATTTTATTGTTCTTGTTAATGATGAAATTATTGTGATGAAGTAAACTCTTATTTTATTTTCAATTGAAACCAAGGTGCTTTCCAATGAACTGCAAATATCTGTATTGAAAAGGAGAAATAGAAAAAAAAATCTAGAAATTATTTCAAATAAGTCTTCTAGGAATAAGGTATTTTTTTATTTAACAATCATTGGGAAATTTGCCTAGAATTAGGTTCAACTCAACCTCTTAGTGTGGAAAAAGTATATAATAATAGAGTTGTTTTGAGAGTAAAATAAGAAAATTTATGTAAAACACTTAGCTCATTGTGTGATACAAAGTATCAAATAGTCATTATTACAGTATGATTGTTATAGATAGCATACACCAAATTGAAAGGTCACATAACATCCATTCATTTATTTGGCATTTAAATACCAGGCATTGGCTAGAATTTGGTATGAAAGAGTGAAAAAAAAAATTGTCTCTGCCTTCATGGAGCTTATGTTCTACAATACGGACAGTAAACAAATATATCATGTTAGATGGTGCTTGTGTTATGGAAAATAAACCGAAATCTGAAAAGTAGAGTATGTATGTTGGTAGTCAGGGAAGGTCTTCGGGATTTAGTGATATTTGGGTAAAGACCTGGAAAACGACAGGGAGTCAAAAGAGAGTTCCAAACAGACTTTTACTGAGAAATATGGTCAGGCTTTTGTTGTTAATCCTCACCAAGGGTGTTTTTTCCCCATTGAATTCCAGAGAGTGGAAGGGAAGGGGTGAGATAGAGAGAGAAGCATCAATTGGTTGCATCCTGCATGCTCCTTAACGGGCACTGAGGATTGAGCCTGCAACAAATCAGAATTGAACCTGAGACTCTCAGTCCCAGGCTGGCATTCTAATCACGGAGCAAAATGGGCCAGGCTGGTTACACTTCTGAGTACAGGAACTTTCAGATTTGGTAGCCTAGCCAAAACTATCTTCTATAGGAGACCTTAAATATATTAGGTGTTGGAATAGGTGTGGTCATCAGTATGATTATAGCTACGGTTTTCTCTTTATTATTTCACTTAAAAATCAGCATTTCATGTTTGCATGATTCAACATTAAAAAAAAAAAAGTATAACTAGGTAGAGAAGTTTGTCCTATACAGTTTGCATTGTTCCCAACAAACATGTAACACATTAGATTTTTAAAAATCTTTCCACAGATTGTACAATTTTTATTATTTTTATATAATATAATAAAATTGAGAGGGAGAGAGAGA